CCCCAAAACCCCAAAACCCCAAAACCCCAAAACCCCGAAGTAGCAACTAAGAAGCTTAAGATAAAATTTAAACAACTCTTTATTTAAAATATAAATTAATAACTATGAAGAGGTCTGATCACTACATAGAGAATAAAGACCCTTATTAATCAGCTTCTCAGCATCATTTAACGAAAAGTTCTCATCGTAAAAAGAAAGAAAATCATGATACCATGACCAAGAAGATTAGATTTATTGAAGAGAGCAGAGGGAATAGCACTAGGGCTACTTTACTGGATACCAAAAGTACGAGACACAACGAAAGCAAAGCTAGTATCAAAACATAACAATCTATAAAATATACTAATAACTCAGGAACTGCACACTCGCCTAATGAATCTACCTAAAGCGAATGTAACGATCATTACTTGATGTAGCAGTATAACAAACTGAAAAAGGAGCTCAATCAATTGAGGAAGTCACACAGCAGGGAAAGCCGCTCAATTAAGGACCTAAGCTCAATTAAAACTGAAAAATAACAAAAAAGTAGAAAGTAAAATCATCATGCTCACATCAACAGCAATCACTCTAATAATTCATAGTCTGTTCATCCATTCACAGTAAAAAGACATAGCATTGATTTATCAGCATTTTCAAATGACAATGAATCTCATAGATCGAAAAGTAAAAAGCATAAAGGAGATCGGGAGAAGAGAAAATCTCAAAAGAGAGTTGCTTAGTCATCATAAACTAATGATGTTGTAGAGCTACATATTTATTTGCAGGATTAAAAATCTGAATAGAATAAATAAAAATCTCATTTGAATCAAATCTTACAACACAACATGATGCCTGCACCAGATATTAATCTTTTCTAATATCAATCCTATTACTAAAATCCAATGCTGGTAAATTAGATACCAAGATTCTCAGCTAATTCAATTTATTCCTTTGACAATAGCATGGCTGGGTTTTATTCTTAAAGATCAGGAGGTGCTCCTAACTTTCCCATGTTGCATAATCGAATCGAAAGTGTTCCTCACATGGTACCCCCTTTAAACCTTAATTTTTTCAATGATAAGACTAATTCATATATTAACAGTGACAGAAACTACTCAAATGCAATGCTAAATAAAATACACAGCTCATTAGATCATAGTGAAAGCACACAGATGAAGTCAAGTAAGAGTCTTAAGAGGAGAGAATAAGATAAAGAAAACAATGAGTATAAAAAAGAAAAGAGGAGGAGCAAGAAGAGAGGAATTAGAACTGAAAATCACTCAGTTTAATGCTCAGATGTGAAGCTGGCTTTCTAGAATACAGAGATAAAAACATTGATAAAGCCAGACTCTTAATATATTCAAGAAAAGATATCTGTAACTAGTTCTCACCAAGAGCTGAAATTTGAAATCGTAAAAGATGATCAACATCAAGCTGGAAGATGCAATTAAGAAATCTGCGAGGGGTCTCATAGGTTTCTAACTCAATCTATTCATTAAAGAAAATTCTCCTACATAATTGCTGAGAATGTTCTTGAAAGTCCAAATGAAAGAGAATTTAGAGATGGGAAAAACAACAATATCTGGGGACTAAAAGAAATGGACCTCAGGGATAAGCCAGAACATAATTTTTCATCTGAAATAGATCCTTGCAAAAACTGTTCTAATTGTCTAAAGCTTTAAAAAGAGATTCTAAGACAACAATAGTATTTGATGCAGGATTCCTAGAATACGATGAAGAGTAACGACCTTCAAAACATCTTGAGTCAAATTGATAGGAATTAGTCTCAAACCTATTATCCTGAAGTAGTTATAGTCAATGATAATGATTCAGATGGCAACTTTGATATTTCACTTGATGAAGTAGCGAATGAAAGAGATTCGATAAGACTACAATTAGATTTTAATTGTAACGAGTAGGAGGAGATGAACGAAAGAAGGGATAAAACCAAGAGCAGGATTCAAATGTGCAGATCAAATAGCTATCTAGTAAGAAACATGCACAGACTTTCAAATCCATTCAAAAGATGATTGCCATATCAATATCATTATGAAGTTGAAGTCATAATTTTAAAGATATCGAAGAGGTTTCAAGTCGAGACATTGATAGCCTTCAGTTTTATTGTGCAATATATATAAATACTCTCAAAGTTGACTTATTTTGAAACACCTTAAAAATAAATTTTAACTAGATTCAAGGGGTTTTGGGGTTTTGGGGTTTTGGGGTTTTGGGG